GGTGATTTGTAACCTTTAAAATATAATAATAGAAATAGAATAATCTATTCATTTTTAAAATATGAAAAAAATAATAAATTAAAATTCTTATCAAACTGTTAAAGATATGAATCTAAAAAAATTAAAAGGTCAATACACTCTTGAGTCCTTCAAAAAGACTAAAAAATCACTCAAAGATGATATAATATTAAACTAGAATGACTATTGCCAAAGACAAGAAGACTAAAAAATCTTCAAACAAGATTAAGGATTAAAAAGATATTGACAAGAATGAAACAAGTTTCACTCTTACCTCCATATATACTATCTATTTAAGAGCTACATGAAAATGTTCTCTAAAACTTCTAATACATATTGAATTTGTAAGAAATATATATATATATATATATATATATATAGATATATATATATATATATATATATATATATATATATATATATATATATATATATATAGATATATATATATCTTAACTTATAAGGTAAGTTTTTTTTATATGTAAGCTATATAATTGACTTCTTCTGCAAGCTATCTACATGTTGTCTTATTATGGTTAGACTATCATGTAAAAATAATAAACATATATATTCAATATATAATTTACTATACAATGTAGTGACGGCTATATTATCAAATTTTAGTTGATTACAAAATGTGATTAAATTACAACTTTGAAGTAGTTAGTTTAAAAAGGCTATTATTGAAGTTGATTTTATGTTGATATTTTATTACATATTTAGAACCACCTTGATTAAACATTGGTGATTCTCAAAATCTTATTTTGTTTCTTTTATTTGGTGTTTAGGGCACACACTATGCAAAAAATATTAGAATAAGGATTAAAAAAATATTTTTGTATAAAAAAGAATAATTGGGCCAATCATATGGATGAATGGAGATGGATGATAAAAATCTCCATCCTTATTGGCCAAAATTTATATACAATGGACTTCAAGGAGATTATTTGAGGCCTTATTAGGAATTAGGATTATTCTTTTGAGGCGATTTAAACTTGAGAAGATAGGATTAGGAATTTTAGATTTTTGGCTATAGTTTTGATACTAATTTTGAGTGATTTGGAATATTTGTGAAGAAGATATAGACACTCAAATTTAAGATGTCAATTTGGTACTTATTGTCACTTTTTGAGGCATAGTGCATACAACTCTAGACCTTTTTTTTTTTATATGAAAAATAAAGTCCTTTAAATCAACTTTTCAATTGCGCAATCTAATCTTCAAAAGCTCTTATAAATTGATGTTTGTCAATGAACCAATTTTATGAAGAATTTGATTTCAATCATATCTTCGACATTTGGATGAATCTTTGGCTAATTATTTTTATAAATGTATATTACTATGTTATAAAGTTATACACACAATTTTGTAGCATTTTGTTTTTTTATTTTTGAAATATAGAGAAAATAGTACTTGGGGGCTTGTAAATTAGGATTTAGAGCACTTATTAGGTTTTCTAAGATGTCATACAATTGAGAGTATATTTATAGTTTATTTTTTAGATAAAGATAAATTCTATATTATCTAAAAATTTGAAAAAAACTAAACAATTTAATCAAGAGATATGAATTTCTAAAATTTGAGAAGAAAAAATCCTTTGTAAGTTAAAAATATTTTGAAAGAATTTTACTACAATTTAGGTATTTTATGCAAAATAAAAGGGTTTTTGGGAGCCAAGACTTTATATTTATGTGAAAGGTAGAGATATGGAGCTATGAAAAAATTATGATATAAAAATATATTTTTAAAAAGAGATTATGGATTTTCTTTGAGTTTATTGAAAATCTAACTTACTAACAAATGATGAATTATGACTTAGTATAGCAAAAGGTGTTAGGGCATTTTTAGATGCTTTAAAAAGCCTTATGTATAAATCTTCTTAAATATAAAAAGATTTTTATTAATAAAATATCTTTTAAATTTTTTATATTTATTTGTCTTTTATAATAAAAATATATTACTTATTAGAACTTGGCCAATAAGTTAAAGCTAAACTCTCTATAGTTAGGTACCCAATATATTCTCAGATAGAAAATCACGCCATAGAATATGTAGCATATGGTTATCTTGTTGATCAAGTTTTTAATCTATCAATCAACTATAAACACATGTAAAGTTTAAATTAACTTTATTTGTATAAATTCAAAATCAACTACAAAAACATGTAAAGTTTAAATTAACTTTACTTGTATAAAGTCAAAATCAACCACAAACAAGTATAAAGTCAAAATTTCATATCTATGAAGCTTTTACAAAGCTTTTTTAGAAAATATTATGAAATTAATTTATTTTTATCTACTTCTATGTAATCATATAGGTAATTATTAGAGTAAATATATATGTCTATGACTTCATCTTGATATACAATCTTGGATTTATAAGTTTTTATAATATATTCAAAATATAAAGTTTATATTTTTTTATATTCTTAGAATATATTAGAATGATATTTATATAATAGAAAAATAAAATCACATAAAAATTCTTAGATGACATCATTTATTAGATATTAAAAAATAGTTGATACATTTATAAGTCCAAAAAAAATGACAACAAATTCAAAATATCCATATATGGTTTTTTTTAGTAATACATTATTTTCTTTGGCAATCATACTATTCATTTTATAATTATATTGTTTCTTTAAATAATATTGAGAGGTGTATTTAGGTTTTCTATAATATAACCATAATCCTTCTTCATGATAATGAATCTTTTTTTTTTTTTTTTTTTTTTTTTTTTGTTTTTTTTTCTATAAGAGATTAAAAATATATTGTATCAATTTGCATAAGTTTTGGTAATGATAAATAAATTTATGAAAATTTAAGAATATATGTTATGATTTGATTTATTTTTTTTCAAATAAATCCTTGTTCTTGGCATCTTTCAAAATATGGATTATTTAAGTATGTAATGGCTTACGTAATAAATTATTCTAATAAATTTACTTTTGGCATTGTCAATAATGAATCTTTGATATTATCATTTAATCAAAATAGAAATTGATTGACAAGGATTTTACCATTTCAATCCACATCCCAAATAAGATATTAAAATTCAATGGCATATTTGCTAGCTAATTGTGATCTTTGTTATAAAGATAGGAGTTTGGTCTTTACTATCTTTTTTTAATTTCTTTCTCTAAATGTAGATCAATCAAGAATATGAATTTCAAAAAAAGAAAATCTCAATACACTCTTATATCACTCAAAAAAACTAAAAAATCACTCAAAGATGGTAATATATTGAACTAGAATGGCTATTTTCAAAGACAAGAAGATTAGAAAGTCTTGAAATAAGATTAAAGACTAATAAGGCATTAACAAAAATAAAGAAGGCTTCACTTTTACTTCTATATATACTCTCTAATTAGAAGCTATATAGTAATATTCTATAGGACCTCCAAGACATGTTGACTTTGTTAAAAACATGACTTAACTTACAAGGCAAGTTATCTATATGTGTACCATATAGTTAACTTGTGGAACAAGCTACTAACATGTGTATCATGTGGCTAACTTGTTGATCAAATTTTTAACTTACTAATTAATTACAAACATATGAATCTATAAAGCTTCTAGGAAGCTTTTCTATAAGATATTATGAAATTAATCTATTTTTATCTACTTCTATTTAATCATATAGGAAATTATTAAAATAAATATGTATATCCATCACAAAAAATAAATACTTCTAAGAATAAATTTATTTCATATTAGAGTCATAAATCTTTTTTTATTAAAATTACAAACCAAAAACTAAAAGTGAACTTATGATTTCAACTTGAGTAAATTCAACAAGATATTGAAAAGGATGTAATACAGATTGAACTTGATTTATTGTAAAATTTTTCAACATTTTGATTTTGTTCCATCAAACTTCTTTCGCATATTAATTCTTGCATTTTTTATACTCATAATAGTAAGACTTGTAAGAATCAATTGTGAAGTTGATCTACTTTCTTCTTTCAACTTCTCAATATAGACATTAATCCATTATTAACTTATTTGATTAGTTTTCAACCTAAAAACTGCCTATTATCACTTGTAAAATTAAATCTGAGTCTTTAAAACTTCTAAGAAACTTCTCCAAAAGATATTGTTAAATTTACATATTTTTATTTATTTCTATATAATTCTTTTTTTTTTCAAGTAATTATTAGTATTAATGTATATGTCTATGATAATAAGTTCCTTTATATTTTTATATTAAATTCACGTTTTAAGTTTTAATATTTATCATTATATTATTTTTGATGTTGATATTGTTTAATTATATTTAATTATATGAATTTACAAACAAAATGTTTTTTATAATTTTATTTTATTTTATTAATATATTGTAGCACACTTTAATATGCATAGTAGACTAAAAATACAAAAATTCTAAAAGACGTGAATATAATTATTTTATGCTAGTCTTTCATTAATCTTATTTTAAATATATTAAAATAACCTTGTATAATTTTTTAGTTTCTGGATTACAAAAAAATGAATTTATAATCTTGTTTCTACTATCAATTATTTATTTATTTATTTATTTATTTTGTATTGCATTGATTTAAATCACACACATTTATTATTTAAGTTAATTCTCTCTCTCTCTCTCTCTATATCTATATATATATATATAAATATATATATATATATATATATATATCTATAGAAACGTTATATTTTTCGAAACATGGGGTTAAATGCTTTATGCTTTCGAAGTTACTGAAGACCAATGGCACGGAGCACCACATGGAAATAGGAGACTAACACCCTGCCACCTTTGGTTCGGCCGACATGCCATGTTAACGCAAACTCCAACGAGGATGGGGAAAGGACCTGGGCTTGATCCAAGCTGGAGCCTAGCTGGCACACCGTGTTTCAAGTCAACGCGGTTGGGTAAATAATGCTTCTGAGAGCTTTGCGGCGAAATGAAGGCAAAACCCACCTGGAATCCACAGCGGGCGGAGCGCAGACAGGGGCTCGTCTAGATCCAGTGCAGATCGCAAGGCACAGTATGTGCAGCAGCTCAGTGAGGTTGGACCATGGCCCCCTGCCTGTTGGCGTTGCCGCCATGCAAGGAGAAACTTTCGGCCCCGGCGCCGACTCGCAAAGATCCGCTAGTGGGGCAGAATATCAGCAGTTGACATGCGCGAGACTCAGTGTTCGGGATATCTGCTATAAGCTCCATGCAGCGGCGGTAGTGTGTTCGTGTGGTTCCGTGGAAGTTATCCTCCACGCGTGTCTTGAATCGGTTTTGAGGTGGTTGATTGTTTAAGGGTGCTGGCTGTAGTCATCTGTTGTGCGACTCACGTGATTCGACTGACGTTTGCTGGCAGCGAGGGAGTACACGGTAGAGAATCAGCATGGAGAGTGGAGCTTGGGACTCTGAATACTTCGATAAACGAGCGACGCCAGGGGTGGGGGCTGTTGGTGGTTCGAAGATGCCACCCCCGCATGCGCATGGAGCTGTTGCACCACCGCCTGCTATGTACAACAACCCTGCGATGGAATCAAACAAGGATGACAATTTCTTTGGCGCAATTGTTTTGTCTTTACGAGCTGCGCAGATTGTGTTCACCGTCGTAGGGCTCGGTGTTATGGGATCATTGAAGCATACTTCGCATGGGGATTATTATTATTATTATTACGATTTCTCATTCACCCAGGTCGACTCTTACATGTAAGCACTCCCTTTCTCCATCGTCTACTTCGATGATATTCATAAAGTCATCTGCATTCGAGATTGACAGTAACTGGTGATTGTGTACTGGTGGATACTGCTTGCAGAGGAGTTCTTAGCCTGGATGTCATCGTGTGTCTCTATGCGATAGTCCAGCTAGTCCTGTGCTTCATACAGCGCTCAAATCAGGGGAAATATTTATCGTCACCCACGACGGTCGCCGCTAAGCTCACTTTCGTCTTTGACCAAGTAGTTTGTTCAATCTCATTCAGATTTAGATGGAGTGTATCTCTCGCTGCTTCCTTTGAATTTTTTCGCTCGAGATAAATTTGTGCTGCAGTAGCATTAAGTTTGTTCCGGAGAGATAGACGTTGATGCACTGACAACGATTCATCGCTTGAAACTCACAGGTTCTCGCCTACGCCCTCGTGGCTACTGCTGGCGCTGCAGCAGGCTCTGCACTCGAAATAAGAAAAGGGACGTCATGCAGCGGGACTTGGACAGTTATCTGCTCCAAAGGCGAGGCTTCTGTAGCAATGTCTTTCTTTGCATTCGCTTTTCTTGCCGCTACAGCTGCTGTGTATTCAGTGCGACTTTTGAGGATTACCGGGAGATGATGTGTAGTTTACTAGGCAAGATTCCAGCTCCTTCGAAGGGTTGTTCTAGGGTTAATCAGTACCGTGGTCGTGCTGTGCCTGATTTCGATTACTACATGTTACTATAATGTTCTGCTCTCACCACTCGTGGTCCGCTTGTAGTGATAGGCAACCCTCTTTACATTCTTCAAGCAGTAGGTGGTCTAGATCTCTAGTGGTGAATATTCCATCTCGCTGGAGCGTTATTGTTTTGTTTTAATTTTTTCAAATTTTTTACCAGCATTGAAGTTAATGCTGCACTGCCTCACACGCATTCTATGGACGTGGTGGTGTCTCTTTTCGATTGATTGTGTTTCACCTGCTGGGTGCAAGAGTGGACTATGCCTTCAACTCGGTGCACTAACAGTCCCGACGCTGTCATCGACGAATAGCTGTTCACTGTCTGAAACAGACCTTCTGTACTAAATGAGAGCTGTGAGGGAACCTTCGGTAAACAACTTACACGTAAATGGAGTAAAGCACTTGTTAAAAGATATATTATGTTTGTCTATGTAGTTCGTTTTAGTCACCATAAAAGTTGATTGAAATAATGTTAATATTGTACAAAACACCTGCTACTGATACTTTTGGTGAAGGAATGAGGAAAACGCGTGAAAAAGTTTCTAACTATTTTTGTTACTAATTCACACTGAATTAACAGATATTAAATGAATTATTTTCACAAAATCACAACATCCATCATCACAAATGTTTCGTAGATCTCTGACAATAAAAGCACTCCTGGACAGTGTAGCAAACTGGCAGCAGTTCTCCTGTTCTGACTGAACACAAATGCCATTAAGCTACTAAAAATCCCAAGCACTTAACCATGCAGGCGCATGCTATCTCCATTTTGAAGAAGGGAACAAGCATCACAGGATGTCTCAAATTGCAGAATACAGCTGTTTAGCATTTGACCTCATTGCCACGGACATTGATTCGTATAAACCATTTTATAAAAGGTAACGTTGCAACTTAGCTGGACGGCAAAGTGGGTGAACCTGCTGGACAAAATCAATTGGTTGAATGTAACAGCAGAAGAAGCAGATACATTCAGGCTGCCGTTCATTCTCCTTTAATTTGTGATACGATAATTTCTTACATAAAATTTGGGAATGGAATGATTCTACTTACTCTTCGTTCCATTCACGTAGCAGCATAATTGCCATGACCTTGGTATTCAATACTCGGCTTCCAACAAAGGATATCAACACATAAAGGGTTAGACACCTATGCCGTGTGTTGCTTTAGTTTCAGATGTTCCTGAAGCTACAGGTATTTATGAGGTTTGAAAAACTCAGGCCAGCGTAGCATATTTCATCCTTGTTGGCTCCTTGTTCCCTAGCCTCTTTCTCCGATCGGCTTCATACTCGGTATAAGAGCCCTGGTAATAGTACACCTAATATATCCAACGCAGGTATGAATGATAATCTCAGCGAAAAAATTCGTGAGAATGCAAGTCAGCTTTATCAGCACAAGCACTACAGGTTCGGAAGGTTTAGCCTTGTTGGACTCTTATCATGAAAACATTCAGAGAAAATCGAACACGCAGCAGAATTTTCAAATAAATGGAAATGAATAGTACCTGCGAGTCTCCTTCAAAAGCTAAGATGTGAGTGGCAAGTCGATCTAAGAACCAGCGGTCGTGGGAAATGACAACAGCACAGCCTGTTACACAAAGTTACCAATTTATCACCAAGTAAAAACAAAAAAATCGTACACACAAAGCTGGTGAAGAAGCGTCAACAAAAGACTTATCTGCAAACAGAGCAACTATTTCCAACCTCTAGCCTTGTATTGATATCAATGAAAGAGGTAGCAATAAACTGAAAAAACAATGAGTAATGGGGTTTAACAAGCATTGCAATAGATTGTCATACCTGCAAAATCCTGAATGGCATCCTCCAGAGCTCGAAGGGTATCTACATCCAAGTCGTTTGTTGGCTCATCCAGCAACAAAAGGTTGCCTTCCTTCTTCATGACCTTTGCAAGTTGTAATCTGAATGACACAAAGTTGTATGGTGTATAAAAATCAAGTTGAACAATCCACTTATAATAAATAAGCCCTACTCAAATAAACTTCATCAAATTCTTAAATATCAGATGCATCATCTATACAGAGCCAGCGGGATCTAAAAGAAACACATTCAAGCAATATCAACAAGCAAGTTTACTGTCCTACTTAAGAAATGGTATACAATAGATTTACGTTATGTTCTTTTCATCCCAGAATTTACTCACCGATTGCGTTCTCCGCCTGAAAGCATGCCGACCTTCTTCTGTTGATCTCCCGATTTGAAATTAAACCACGAGCAGTATGCCCTTCCATTGACCTTCCTTTCACCTGAGGTCCAGGGGTATGAGTCCAAGTTGTAGTTCAAGGCATGAGTCACCTGCCTACCTCATCATACTCCAAGGGGCATGGGTCCAAATTCTAGATGTAAGAGGTAAGTCTCAGTCCTTAAAAGGAAATATCATGAGTTGGTGTTCTCCACAGCAAACAAATCAAGGTGCAGTAACGAGGTGGTGCGGGTGGAAACGCAGGTGCTCCACGATGAGAGGAAAAAAGATTTACCTATGAAAATCTCCTCCTGCCCATCGGTAATCTCTTCGAAGACAGATTTCTCTGGATCAAGCGATTCTCTTGACTGGTCAATGTATAGGGGAGCCACCGTTTCTCCTACTCTTAGTTCCCCTCCATCGGGACTATCCTGCATTGTAAGGGATGCATACCAACAGCCATCAGATGCCAAGCGATGGATATTGAATTGACAACTCAATAACGCTGCGCTTGAAAACATCAAAAAAGACAGAATCGGTTGTACGAGTGCTTGTTCCAAAGGTAGAGTTGACTATCTCACAGGAAAAAATGTTATTGTAAGAGTTTTCCAAGCTCACATTGACTGCAAAATGTACCTGGCCTAAAATCATTTTGAAAAGGGTTGATTTGCCGGCGCCATTGCCTCCGATCACTCCCACCACACCTGGAGCTCGCAAGTTCTCAAAGAGACTCGGTTAGAAAAACTCAAAAACTCGTTGAAAATTTAAGCTGGTCGCATTTTAGTTCCACTGCCCTTCAATTGAAAAGGCATCAGTTCTTATAAACTGAAATTTGAATTTATTGTCAGTTTTCTTCGTTGGTGAGAATGAGCTTCTTCACTGCGTTATCTTGGAATCTCATTTGTACAGGATATGACTTGAAAAAATATAAGGGATAAAATGAAGTAGAGTTAACATAGATACATAACTCATGGCATGCGTACCTCCAGGGGGTAGGCTGAATGAGAGGCCGTTAATAAGCAGGCGTCCATCGAAGCCTTTCTGGAGGCTCTGGGCTTCAACGACTACATTACCAAGACGAGGTCCTGGAGGCATAAACATTGATTCCAACTTCTCCGCCTTCTGATACTCGCTAGCCTTCTGTAAGAGTTCTTCGTAGGCTCGTTCTCTTGCCTGCAAACCGGAGGAGACCCGGGATCGAATTAACTATCTGAAACATATAACGGAAAGTAACCTGCTGCACCAAATCTCCAAATTCAAGACGAGATAGAACCACCATATACCTTGCCCTTCTTCTGCTGTCCCTTTGCATTCGTACGAATCCATTCCAACTCACGTTGAATATTGCGCTGCAGTGATGATTGTTGCTTGGATTCTGATTCCATGCGTTTCGCCTGCACACAAAACCCAGACGAATAATTGCACAAGGTTAGAGCTAGAAACTGAAGGCAATCCAAAGATTCCACGAAAGCACAGAAAATTGTTGAAGACGAGATGCGAATCTGTATGTAGTAGGCTGATAGAGTGAATCACACAGATATATCAGATGACCAGTGCATATCAGGCTGCGTGTCCAAATAAACATTGAACCAAGGTTAATCACAAGAAAAAAAAGATCACCTTCGAATCAAGCCAAGATGAGTAATTTCCTTCAAAAGGAATGCCCTGTCCCCTGTCAAGCTCTAGAATCCAACCAGCCACCTGCCAATACAGAACACATTGGATATGAAGATGATTTTATGTGGAAGTGAGTAGAGTACGCATGATATTTTTCAATTTAAACATGTTGCAATGGACGGTTACCATAAACACAAGTTCAATAAACTCCCATACTTTTCCTCAGATCAAATGGTCGGAACAGGGCAACTTGACCCATGATAGCCTCTGCACTGAGAAAATATCTACATAACAATCTATTAACCTCAAGCATATCACATTCCAGTGGCACATATAAAGATGAATTTAAAAAATGAAACTAAAATGCCTTCGACAGCTTAACGTAAGTGAGAGAAACTGAGGGTAGGATCTGAACAGCAATCTTACATTATCAAGGAAGTAGCGATCGTGGGTAATTGCAACAACCGTCCCTTTGAACTCAGCCAAGTATCGCTCCAGCCAAGCCACTGCCTCCGCATCCAGATGATTTGTAGGCTCGTCGAGTAACAATATGTCTGGGGTCTATGGAAATAGGCGCACAGAAATTAGGGCATCCGTGGCATGGAAGACTCTACAAATATCGCCTGGACTAATTTGGTCGTTTCAGCCTTTATAAGTTTTCTTAACACAAGAATGTGGCGGCTAACAGATATGCAAAGTAACCGACCACTACAATCATTCAATGTTTGTATTTGAAACCTATGAGCTGTTATCAGGTCTTCAAACAAACCTGCCAATCGAAAATACCCGCTGAAATGTGTGTCAACAGATGTGAAGTTGAACTGGGAGCTACTGCTATGACGGCTAAATTCTAGTCCCACGCATTTACAATGACAACATACCTGAAGCAGGAGGCGACACAGAGCAACTCGGCGAAGTTCGCCACCACTTAAGTTTGAAATTAAAGCATCACCAGGAGGGCACCTTAGGGCATTCAATGCGCGCTGCATCAATAGAAAGGGAAATATTGGTAAAACTCAGTTGTTCCTAGTACCGTACTATCATTTGACTCGAGGATTGAATCCAAACCTGGTACTTACTCAGAAGTAACTAGTAGAATTCAGACGATACTCAAGAACTGAAAGATTCTGCGGCTTTCAAACTTCAAGGTGGACATGATTCAGAGTCAATGCATACAGACCTCAAGTTGTCGCTCTAGCTCCCAACCATTGCAAGCATCAAGGGCATTCTGCAGTTGCTCCATTTTGACCATGAGCTTGTCCATGTCCGCATCTGGATTGGCCATGTCGGTGCTAACCTGTGAAATAATGGTCAATAAAGTGCAAAAATGCCTACACTTAATCAGAAACTATGATCAGCGAAGCAGCGAATCAAAATCATATCAACCAACAAAGCAAATAATGGTTCTACATCTGGGACATACCTTCTCAAAATCTGCGAGAAGCTTGCGTGTCTCAGCTAACGCAGGCTGTAGCACAGGCAGTAGCACAAATATGAGAAACCTTCCATAGAATATTCAACAATAGATAACAATAGCTTTCGTGATCGTATATGACAGTCTGCGGTAACTTTCACTAAGCACCTCAAATTTGAAGCCGTGAGGGAAAAACAAAACAAGCCAAAAAAAGAATGACTAGCTGCATTCATCCACGCTTCATGAAACGCAAAAGTGAAGAAATACACCTCAATATTCTCCATCACAGTTAACCCATCCTTCAACTCTGGCTCCTGCAATCCAATAAAATAGCGACTCAGTCTAGTCCGTACATGGTCTATGCACCATGACTGAATGGGATCCCCCCAACAATCTCACAAGCTAGCTATGCTGGCAATACTTGAATATTCGTAACCCGATGGTATACCAAACCTTCAAAGACGCCATTGGAACAGCCCAGTACAGCACATGCTCGAAGCGTCTGAAGCCACGGAGATGTGCATCTTTACGGCTGCAATGACAATAATCAATACAGTCCCAATTGGCCAGGCTCTGTTTTCGTACCTGTGAAAGATAGCCCACTTTGATTCCGGGTTCCAAGTACAAATCTCCGTCAAAAGTCTTATCTACTCCCGCAAGAATTTTCATCAGCGTCGATTTTCCAGCACCATTGGGTCCGAGAACACCAATCTTGGCCCCATAGTACATCCCCAGACTAATGTTCTTGAGAAGCTCCTTCCCCATGGGCGTCACCTAAACATCATCCACATTTCGATTTTGAAAGTCTGAACACATGCGCTTGCCTGGGGTGCCGTTGTAATGTGGGCCTCGTAATTGAATCGAAATCCCAAAATCTGCAGTCTAAGTCGTCCATTAAGTTGACCCTAACGAGCTCTACGATTGAAAGGAGTGTTGTGTTATACCCGAAATCCTCATACCTTTACAGACCATCTAATCGTGGATTCCTGAATCATTCAGAGAAAAGATGTGGAGGCCCTTATATCTCCAGATCATTTTGCAAACTACCAAAAGATTTCGGACATGACAAAAAAATTGAATGCGTTCAGACAGCGACTGAAAAGAAATGAGGATTGGTTAAATTAAGTTCGAAATTTACAAAATAAAAACTGCAAATCTCGCACTCCCGTTGAGCAAATCCTGGGGAAAACTGGAGAAATTTCAATCGCACGCACCTTCTTGAGCTTATGAACGCTGAGAATAATTTTTCTGGTCTCATTAGCATACGCAGTCTCTTTGGCGCCTCCTTCGCTACTAGGAGTCCGCTCCTTTTGCACAACGCTGCCTCCGCCACTCTTCTTCCCCTTCTTCGCCATTGCGACCACCGATAACCCGTGACGACCTCCGGAGAAGGTCGCATTTCCACCAATCCTTCTCTCCGGACATAATTGGCTATCACCCGAGGAGACCTTCGTCACAAAATTCAACTGCAGCGGAAAAATCGCAACACGAGATGACAGACTAGAGGAAGAAGAGTGCGCTAACAGAAACGCTGATTGCGTTGCTGCTGCCATCGTCGTGCACTTAGCTGCCATCGCTACCACCCCCTGCAGCAAGCTGTAAGGAACTGAAGCAACGGAGGAACCAGATAAGTCTCTTGAGCCATAAACCTTCGTTATTGGGGTCCATGAACGTACCCTGGATCATACCCGGTCCCGGCCTTCGACAAATTCCCTGATGGGTACTCTGTTGGCTCATCCTCTCCCCGATTCCTCCAATTGTCCCCAACTTCATTCATCTACTCATCCTCAGATGTTTTTCTCTTTTTAAGTGAGGCTCCTGGATTGCATCGTGATTGAATGTTTTCTCGATCCTGCTGAATTTGGGTGACACGCAAAAAATTTGGGAACAGGTTGCGTCGTAACAAGGGAGAGGAGTTAGCGATGCAGAAGCTTCGATTTGTCCGTCGCTTGGCCGTGAGTGAACTTCACTCTCGTAGAGCTTTCTCAACCTTTGCTCATATTACTGGGTCGTTGTTCGTAACGAAACGGGATGCGATCGTTGTTGCTGTGGCTGCAAATGCTTGCGTGTTGTGAAGAAGGAATTGGGTCTCAGTAGACATCTTCGTTATTGGTAGTAACACTTCTGAGCTTCGAATGCGAACATATCCCTTTCTGGTTCGAAAGGTTTAGGGCTTAGGTTGAAATTCATCAAGTTCATCTTGTTCTTCTCACTGAGCTCATGACGCCGTGCGATGAAATTTCGAGTGTGTTGAACGTTGCTGCTCTCCCATCAGAGTCAGACATCTAATCAATCCCTTACGTTCATCCTTCACTCCCAGTGCGGACTCAGCCCTAAGTTCTCCTCCAGCTACTGCGCTATTTTGATAGCAGTATATGTAACACTTCTCTTTGTATATGAGAATTGAACTTTTGTTCCTTCCAGTGGTAGTTCCTTATGAGGAACATTTTGAAAAGAGACGGCATCTACCAATGGTGCATCATGCCTCCCTCACCAACACCTCACTCAAGCAAAAGAGAAAGGCTAAGAATTAGCCTTGACAAAGTTGAACAACAATGCCATAAAAACAACATTGCATTGCAAATTATGTAGCACTTCATAGATTCATACGAGTGTTGGACACACATCAAATAATGATATGAAGCGGACAACAACCCAAGCACGGTACACCTTGTTAATAAGTTTTTTAGCATAAAAAAAGGTAGCATGAGTATAGATGAATATTTGACTAAACTAAAAGAAATTGCAAATTCCTTAGAAGATGTAGGTATTCATCTACCAAAACCAGTGGTTGTATGGTACATCGTAAAAACATTCTAAAGAAGTATGACACAACCATGTAGATGATTCTTGGTGCAAACCTCTCCTCCTATACTAAGTTAGAACAAAGATTATTGAGCAAGGAGATGTTATAAAAGATTCAAAAGAATGAAGAAAAAAAGGTAAGGCTTTATTAATATTTAGAAATAACTCTAGACGACCATACTCTTGGGAAGCACTAAAAAAATAAAGCGACTGCTAGGGATATTATAATTCGAGAGGAAATTTGTACCACTAACTTGAATCTAATCGTAATCTTGGTAGTAGATCATACTATCACATTGGATCCGATAATATTCACTTGAAAGGACAAACTTTTCCATCCTATCAAGAAAGTGGCTATCACCAAAAAAAAATACATACCTCAAATTTAGCTCATAGAGATGGCTTCTATTGAAATCCTAGTTAACAACAAATTAGAATTCAGAAAAAAAAAAAAAAAAACGAACTTAAAGACAAATTTCAAATCTATCATACACAAGTTAAAAGACTTAGAATTAAGAACACAAGATTTTTTATTGAAAAAGATTTTTTTTTACGAGAATTTCATATAGAAATATGTATAGTTAAAAATTAATAAAATCTTATATTAGCCATAATAAATCAACAAAAATACAATAACTTATATGCTCATAGGAAGCACAATCTTCAAATATTTCAAAGTCTTATGGTTTAAAATTCAAATTCTTTCACTATATAAGGTATATTCATTACAAACATAGTGTCAAGGACAAGAGCTCGATGAAAAAGCAATTCAGACAAGTGAGCCTTCACTCAAAGAAAGATAAAAAAAATATAAATAAACAAGTATGTATATTGAAAGAGAAACTGGAATGGTTATTGATAAAGGACAAGAAAACTAGAGACCCTTGAAACTAGACTAGAAGCAAGAAAGGAGTTGATAAGAGTGAAGAAGGCTTCACTCTTGTCTCTATATATATTATCTAACTAGGGGCTACGTGGCGACGTTCTACAGGACCTCCAATATGTGTTGACTTTGTAGGACACATGCCTTGACTTACAAGGCAAGTTTTTCTACGTATGAGCTACATAGTTAGCTTGGTCTTCAAGCTAACTACATATGTGGCACATGGCCAACTTGTTGACCACGTTTCTAATCCAAAAAGTCAATTAAAGACACCTATGAAGTCAAAGCAGCATCTATGAAGCTTCTAGGAAGCTTTCATATCAAATACTATAGAATTAACTTACTTTTATTTATTTTTACTTACTTCTATCTATTTGTATATGTAATTATGAGTATGTTTGTGATATTACCCCCCTTCTAAGGACGATTTCCACGAGGAGTGGTCATCATATGTTGAAGAAATCTATGATGCGACGAATTGTATTCGCCACATACTCTGATCTTTGCTCTCTTAGAAGATGATTGATAGGGCCTCTCAACCATCGGTAGTGTCCCATACTAGGGCGGGAAGACCACCCAGTTATTTGATCATTGTTGAGGCCTTCATAACTTCCTTCAAATAGAATATTTGGAACACCATCAGGAGTTGTTCCTACCTCTAGTAAAATCACCAAACATCAAGAGTTCCTTTCCAAATCGTGATACCAAACGAGATGTATCTCGCCATCTATTCGAAGAAGAACATGTCGTTCTTGAAGATCTTCATCTCAATTACGTTGTCTTGAAGGTTGTAACAATCATAATGTCTCGTTCGATAGGTCAGTAAATGAAGGTTCTTGAGTCGAATCTACTCGTTGTTGGTTCTCCATCTCTTGAGCGTCACAACTACAAAGAAGCTACGAACAAGGATTGAAAGTAGAATGTTATCTTGCCTAGATGTTGTTTTTTTTACAAAGAAGATTTTCATCTTGATTTTGGTGGATGTCTTCGATGAAAAGCCTCCATTGCCTTTGCTACATTTGCAAGATTCTTTATTGGCTCCCATGTGCATTCACTAATATTATATCCATGCCAATGGACAAGATATTCTAATTTATTTCGGCACCGCCTTGAATCTAAGACTTCTTCTACTTCAAACTCTTCATTATTGTCCACTTCTATAGGAGGAGGTGGAGCTTAACGTCTTCTTGGTATGTCCACTCTCTTGTATGGTTCAATAAGAGACACGTGGAATACTAGATGGATTTTCATTGACTTTGGTAGATATAAATGATATGCAACTGGATTGATTTGTAAAGAAATAGAAAATGGTCCTAGCTTTTGATAGTCCAACTTGTCACAAGGATGAGTGGTCTTGATATTACGACGAAGTAACCATACCTTATTACCCAAGATGAATGATGGTTGTTCCTTTCGATAGACATCCGCATTGACCTTTTGTTGTTCTTGAGCCTCTTTTAACTGCGCCTTTATCGTTGCATGTAGCTCTGATAAATGAATCGCCAAATCTTTTGCAGCAGGATTATCAACTTTTGAAAAGTCAAAAGTATTAAGTTGTGGATGATAACCATAATTAGCAAAGAAAGGTGTTTGTTTTGTAGAAGAATGTACCATGTAATTGTAAGCAAACTCTGCCAATGGCAAAAGAGTTGTCCAATCATCTTGTTGGTAATTAATGGTACATCTTAAATATTGCTCCAAAACTTGATTAACACGCTCCATTTGTCCATCAGTCTGAGGATGGAATGCCAAAGATAGTTTTATATCCACTTCTAGAATCTTGAAAAGAGTCCGCCAAAATCTTGATACAAATTGAGTTCTCCTATCTGATATAATATCCTTGGGTAGTCCATGATAGCGATAGATATTGTCAAGAAAGAGCTTAGCTGTTTCTTCACCTGTGATAGATTTTGTACATGGTACAAAATGTGCCATCTTGGTAAAACGATCTACTATCACAAATATAGAGTCATAAGAACCTGGATTCGAAGATCTGTGATGAAGTCCCTAGAAACAGAAGACCATGGTTGTTCTGGAATGGATAATGGCTAAAGAAGTCCAAAAAGTCGATGACGAGGAGTTTTTGATCTTGAGCAAATATCACATGATTGTACAAAATCTTTGACTGCCTTCCACATTTGAGGCCACCAAAAATCCCTAGATATCAGCTCCAAAGTCTTATTATATCCAAAATATCCTATTGCTGGGAAGTCGTGACGAGCTTGAAGAATACGTAAATGTGCTTCTCCTTTTGGGACATATAGGCGTCCTTCAAAATAGAGTAGGTTGTTATTAGATTCAAATTTAGAGGGATCATGAGATTTAAAAGAATTATTCATGATATCATGAACAAGAGGGTCTGAAGACATACTTAACTGGACTTGCTTAAGAAAAGTTAAATCAACAGTCAATGTTGATTTTATTGCTCGAAGATGAAATTGCTCCAGCTTCAAGAGAACCATTCTTTGTTGCGCAAAAACTACATCTCCTTTTTTTGGTGCAAGATAAGAACGTCTAGATAAGGCATCAGACAAACCTTGTTGTTTTCTTGGCGAATAAGTGATGATGAACTCGAATCTTGATAAAGACATGCTCCAATGAGCTTGACGATGATTTAATACGCATGCTCACATGAAATATTCAAGGTTCTTGTGATCCGTACATACGGTGATTGGACTGGAAGCACCTTCTAGATAATGATGCCATTCTTAAAAAGAATCCACAATTACAAGAAGTTCTTTGTCATGGATCTCATAATTTATTTCTGCTGTTGAGAATTTTCTTGAATGAAAGGCTAGTGGATGAAGTTTGTCATCTATTCCTATTTATGATAAAATCGCACCCAGAGCAAAGTATGATGCATATGTTTCCATAAAGAATGCTTTGAAAAAATCAACACGATACAAGATTGGTGCAAAAACAAACGTTGTCTTCAAAG